TGCTAGCATTGCGCATAGCTCACTAGACTTTTCTAGTTTGAGCAGTCTGGCATGGCTTAGACGATACCACAAATGTGGGATCGTTTGAGGTGACCAGATCGGTTCTCCCCCATCCTAGCATCAGAAATGAACTGATGAGGACCAGAAGGCCGAAACAGTTCTGTCTGCAGTTTGTATGTATGTATGTATGTATGTATGTATGTATGTATGTATGTATGTATGTATGTATGTATGTATGAACGACATATTCAGACGGGACAGGGACTGGTCAAGATTGGTTTTGAGGAAAAAGGGCGGAATTGTTGTTACTCTGAGAAGTAACCTAGATATTGTTGATTTGTATAGATCAAAACTCTATGAACTAATTAGTTTGGCACATTTGCATTTAAACGAGCTATTCGCTCATATGCGATATGTGGCTAAATAAAGTTACTTACTTACTTAAGTTACTTACTTACACAGTCTTGTTGTTTTCAGCATCTCTATCAGCAGCCAAAGCCCTCTTATTGTGAAAGCAACCTGATACATTAAGAAGCTGATTTGGTAGACGATACACTTGACAAAAAACCCAGAGTAACTATTGTTACGAGCGGTGATGTTAGTCAACTGGATACAAATAAACTCTGTCGTCTGACAGGATGGAATTCTCTTGATGATTTCCTATCTAGAAGGGTTGCTTTCTTGGATAAAGTATTTACGAACAGAAAGGACTACAAACAAAGGAAAGAAGATTTTTTTATGGCGAGTGTTGGGATAACGTCTTAAACAAAACCAATGTTTAAGATGCAGGGAAGAAATTAGAAACCATGATTCACACGCCAATGAACAGGTGTATATCATTCAGAACCGTGCGTACGTCATCGTGCGATCCACAATAGATGATGTTAGCTTGTTGGTAAAATCCCCTCTGAGAACTAAGTCAAGAAAGGCTCGACGAAACAATTCCGGTGATAAGATAAGTGACACCGACAGAATAATTTCAGGAATTTATAGGAAAAATGGATGGAGACTGTTACAAGCACCAGTTGGTACAAGAAAATGGTGGGAAAATGTTGACTCACGCTCGATAAAAAGTCCCTCGTAGCGCCAAACAATTACTTCGCGA